TGTAACAGGGTCTTGGGGGTTGTTCTGACCCAGACTGCCTAAATTCAAGGGAGCTGCTGTAGTTTTTTAGTACCAGATGTGCCACTGGCTTGGGAAGTATACTAAATTTCTTTCTTCAGCCCTTCAGGGCTGCTTCTCCTGCTGCTTCTTTGCCAAACATATGGTGTGTTTGAAACCCAGGGAAACACTGGATCAGTCTGAGAAATGAGTGTTGTGCAATGGATTTACTGTCCCAGGATGCTGATGGGGTGAAAGGGAGGAGGAGCGTGTGACTGTCCCCATTTTATACACAGCAGGCTAAGACCTAGGGAATGGTGGGCAGGTTTCCAATGGGAGCTGCTTTGTGCTCCCAGACTTGTCCAGATCACTGTGGCAGATTTGGAAAGTGAGCCCAGCCCTTTAGTGAAGCATCAGCCCCACATACCCTCCTCCCTCTATGCTGATCCATTGTCCCATGAGCCCTGACCCACATTTTTAAAACCTGGCTTTTAAAAAATTACTTTTTTCCTCCTTGAAAGTCTCTTAGAGGAAGTGACATAGCAAATATACACAGACTTATCTGGTCTGAGACATGCCTCTGGCTCTTGCATTATGAGCCCAAATATACAGCCATCTTTTAGGGAGCAGAGAAGCAATTTTTATTTATGAGCAAATAAAAAGACCTGCATGTTTCTGAAGGCCCCTGCCCCTGCGCTGGGAGGTGGTGCTGATGATCAGTCATATCCCTTGTAAGGTCAAGAGGAATCAGACTCTAGGGCTGCCTTGTACTGATCTTGCAGTGCTACTTGCTCACTGTCACCCACGTGCCCTAGAACCTGTTCCACTCTGTTCATTCCTTGATTAATTCCATCATCGCCTGGATACATCCTCCCTTGAAAATTTGTATTAAAAACCTGTCACGGGGTACCCAAAACTGTAGTGGGTCATATTTGGGGATACTTTCCAGACATGCAAGTATCCCCCAAATTAGGCCGGCTACCATCATGTTTGGTCTCCATCAGCAGCTAATGATAAGCTAATACTCATTTTTATCATTTTTTGTTCTTACAAAATGTATTCAGTACAAAATGTTTTAGTAGTCTGATCTAATCAATAAATGACCAGTTTGTTTATACTTGGCTCCACAGTAGCCAGGAGGCAAAGGATTTTTCTCGTGAAGGGAAAATGACACCCTGAATCATGCAAAGAACCAAGGAGGCTGGAGGAATTAGAGTTGCTTCAGGTCAGAAGCTAGCAATAGGGCCTTTCTGTATATCTGTCTCCAAACTTTGAACATTCTTTTCCATGTTTTTCTGCCTTGGGCAATAAACCTGTTTGGGATTTTTGTCTTAATTTGGGGATAAGCATAATCTCCATCAGCAGATATTCCCTTATGGAGACTGCAGACCTACTTTTTGCAAACTCAAGGAGCCCATAAAGTTCCTAGAATCTTCCTCCACTGAGCCATCAAGGTGTTGGTGAGACCAAGTCTTGTTCAAGGCAGTAGTGTCTCCCATGAACAAGATCCAGCCAGAACCCTGAGGATATGCAGCAGCACCCCATTCTCCCGCCCATTCTCATTAAAAAGCTAGGCAACTGTGGCATTGATGCCTACACAGTCAGATGGATAGCAAATTGGCTGACAGGCTGCACTCAGAGCGTGGTGGTGGATGGGTCATATTCGACCTGGAGGGATGCGAGCAGTGGAGTCCCCCAGGGCTCAGTCCTTGGGCCGCACTGTTCAATTTCATTAGCGACTTGGATGAGGGGGTGAAAAGCACCGTTTAAATTTGCAGATGACACCAAGATCTGGGGCGAGGTGGGCACACTAGAAGGGAGGGAGAGGATATAGCTGGACCTGGACAGGTTACAGGGGTGGGTAAATGAGACTAGGATGGGATTCAATAATGACAAGTGCAGGGTGCTGCACTTGTCAGCATTGAATTGATACAGTATTGTCAGTATTTGAATATTGTCAGTATTGAATTGGGCCCAAACTGATCTGTTTCTTCATTATGTTTGTTTGTAACATCCCTAGATTTTGACATCCTGATGATGTTCAGGATCACCTTTACAGCTGGTGCTATAACATCTCAAATAGCATACTACTTGAATTGTGTTAGAGACAGGTGACGTGTACTGGCCCATGGCCAAAAACACTGGCTTTCATATGGCCCCTCAGGCTTATTTCAGTTCTCTCTGCTCCTCCCATGTTGCACAGGTGAGCATAACTTACCCATGGCTGGGGAATGGACTTGATGATCTTGCAGGTCCCTTCTGGTCCTTCAATTCTATGATTCTATAACAACTGGGAGATACAAAAAACTGGCTGATGGGTGGATGTGGATGTGGCTGCGGTGTGCCAGGTGATGCAAAGCATCCCCCTTTAAAGTACAGCCCCTAAAAATCAGCTCCCATCTCCCCCTCCACCCCAGTGCAGCCAGCCCAATGTCACTGAATCACTTTATTGTTGTTTCATTACAAATCAGAAGTAGAATCAGAGCCAAGCCTTGGATACAATCCCTGATATGCAAGTGGAGTCTTTAGGGGCAGCTCTGGCCAGCAGGAAAGTATGTAGGATGCAATCAATTCAGGCCTACCTCCCCATGTCTCTCTATACCCCTCCTAGAGACTCAGCAATGGTATAAGATGGTGGTTGCAGGGTCTAACAGTAAAATGGCATCTCCAACACATCTGCATCTCAACTTTTCAACTGTCTCCCTGCCACCACAACTGCACAGCACTCCCCACTCCTGTTGCTCCAGATGCCCTGCACAGAGCAGTGGGAGCCTCCAACCTGAATTCTCCCATGCCTGAAATCCCAGCTGCCTGGCTCCGCCGGTTCCCAACCTGAGGAATAGAGGAATAGTGGCTGAAGTTACATTTCCCATCTGAGAGGCAGGAGGATCAGCTGCTTCAGCTCAGTAGGGATCCAGTGATGAGAGACTGATACTAGGAGACTAGTCTTCAGGCATCAAGTCCCTACAGCTTCTTGTGGCTTCAGCTGAGGCTGGGACATGCTCAGCAGTGACCAAGCATCTGTGTGAAGTGAACCCAAGTTCCCAAAAACTTGCGTTCGCTATAGATATCTTATATAATCTATAAAGATACACATCTACCCTGCCTTTAGTAACCAAGTGCCATTCACAAAGGCAGCAGAGAGCCTCCAAGGGACTAGAGACACCAGAAGAAGCACTTGTTCCAACCAAGTGAGGTTCAGTCCAAGTCCCACAAGGCTCAAACACAATCCTTAGTCCCTTCCCCCACCTTGGATAACAGCTCTTAAATATACCTCCACCAGCTGTTTCCAGCAAGAAGCATGAATGGAGGATGGCAAGGGGAAAATTGAAGTGCTTCTGTTAGTGGCAGCCATGGTTTGGGTACAAGCCAGAGGCTCCCTGGGGCAGGTGGACTGAATTTGGGTATTTGGCAGACATAACAGTACCCAGCCCTTTGATCTGAGTCAGAGCAGCAGTGTTATGAAGCCCAGTAGCCATGAGAACAGGCATCACAGAGCTGGGGAGAGACTGAGAGCTGGTGAGGAGACTGAACATCAGGGCTAAGGTGCCCTAAGGCTCCTATGGGACACTAACAGGCTTCAGCAGCATCAGCTCAGGCCTGCAGGGCATGAATGGGGGTCCAGACAGGTTACAGTGTGCAATGCCATTAGAGGGGGCCTAGAAACCCATCTGTGCTCTGTGGCTCCCAGAACAGGGATAAGCCCAGAGAAATACAGCAGGGGAGTGCAGAGCAAGGGAGTGAGGGACAGAACAGTGCATATTAGTGCTCTAGAACAGCACGGGGAAGAGCTGAGCCTTCCTTGTCTAGCTTGACCAGATGGAATGGGCTGCTCCTAGAAGGCAAAGCAGCAGTGTTCTTCTGCCTAAGCAAACTTCCTTAGGTGCTCCCTCAGCAGTACAGGTGAAAGCTTTGCTGGGTGGAGATGGGCAGCTGCATAAATAAGGAACAAGGGCTGCAGTGCTTGGCTCTGAGATGCTGCTAACTGGGTTGCAACCACTGCCAGCAAATGGCCACTCCAGTGCTTATCTCAAAGCAGGGAGGGGATTTAACCATGAATCAGGAGTTGGATAGTCTAACCATCCCAACTGTGCTGTGCCAATGGGACAATGCAACACTGTGCATCAGAAATGAACCAGCTGTGTCCATCACCTCTGGAACAACCCTGATCTCTGCATCGTGCAGACATGAATTTCAGTTCTGTTCCCTGAAGTGAAGGCAGCATATCGGTACAGTGACAGTTTAGCAACATAAAGTGTGACTTTTTGGCAGTGCTCTGTGTAGTCAGGAACCACAGGTCAATTAGAATCCACTCTCCCCCATGCCAGCACCATGGCTGGCCAAGGGCTTCTGCTAGCCATGCTGTAGAATCTTGTCAGTCTCTGGCCGGAGCAACGTGATCTTCCTGCCTTGGCCAGGGCTCCATCTGCAACAGGTAGAGTTAGGATCACAATGAGTCCTCAGGCTTCTGAAAGGGATTCAAAAAAATTTTGCTCTTGCAGGTATCTTCCACTCAAGGATCTCAGGAAACTACTGGTGAGCTAATGTCTGGTATCTAGGTGTCCCTATAGCTCCCCTCACCATGTTATTTAAAACCCCCTGGGAGAAGCACAGGTTTGTTCTGTGGAAGAACACTATGCCATCTATGATGGCAGAGGCTGAATCAGGGTTTATTTTAGGGTTCTTCCCTAAACAGCACCAAGAATCTCTCCTTCTTTGCATCCTTCAGCCTAAAGTACTGTGCAGCCCCATCATGTGAATGTTAAGATTCAACACACAGAGATGATGCTAAGAAATGCTGGAATATAGCTTCCTCTGGGATGGCATGATCCCTGTGTAACAGGGTGCATGCCTGTGGGACTGCAATACAGCTGCAGTTAAATTTTCACCCTACGTGCAGGAGGTGGAACACAATAAACTGCAGCGACCTCAGTTAGTTTCTGTTCATGGGGAAGTTCTTTCTTTGTTCCCAAGTTTATTAAAAATCATGAGGAGCCTCTGTGCCTTGCAGGGACTAGATGACTGTGGAGAAGTTAATACTGGAATGGGTCAGTGCTATTACAGACTCAAGGGGGAAGGACAGTGTACTTGGAGGAGACCGCTTAGTTCTAAGAGAACAGGTAACAAGTAGCTCAGAGGGGGTAGCAGAACAGGCAATCTTTGCCCTGCATGTCACCAGGCTGAGTCTGGCCCATGTTGGTAGTGGCTCTGGGGCAATGCACAGCAGCTACCAATCTCTAAGCTCATGAAGCAGCACTTTCCCTCAGCTCCAAGCTTCATTAAGGTCCTCAAAAGATGGTAGAAACCCCACATAGGTGGAAAAAGGAACATGGCAACAATGGGGTATAGGCTGGTGATTAACCTTGTTCTGAAAATCTCCACCACACTATAAGCGGGAATGTCAGCTGGAAGGAAGGGAGGGGGAAGAACAATTAAAATTAACAGTTCCTGGGAGGCAATGCTGGTTAGTAGCCAAGATCTGTTCTCAGGTCTGCAACTGACTCACTATATGGCCTTTTACAAGCCAATCCCCTTCTGCACACCTCAGTTTCAGTACAGAAATGGGCTTGCTGTAAGACAGAAGAGCTCCATGATCTTGACATGGAAGGACAGAGTAGTACTGACCAAGGGCATAATGGAGTAGGGCTCACCTTTAGGGTTGGTTTCAGCCCCCTGGGGAAGTCAGACAATGTTCCTCTCCAGAACCGGCTCCCCAGAGAGGAATCTGTTGGCGGAGAACCTGCTGAGGTTGATGGTCTTAAATTTTTTATTCAGAATGAGCTCAGCCACAGCCCTGCCTGCTGCTGGTGACTGCTGCAGCCCATGCCCACTGAACCCTGTGACAAAGACCATGTTTAGCACTGTAGGGTGAAGACCCAGCACAGCATTCTGGTCAAACGTGTTGTAGTCATAATAGCCAGCCCAGGAGCCTTTCACCTGTCAAAAAGAAACACACTTAGATCCTGTGAATAAACCAAGAAAACCCTTATCATGCTGACTAGCATGGGCCCTCACGTCAGAGGACTCAGTGGGGAAGCTTGGGGGTGCAGGGAATGGAGACAGAACTTGGCTTGCAGTCCAGAGCAGCCTCCAGCAGTCTGCATGGCTGTGAGAGGGAGTGTGCCACCATACTGGTCTCACACTTGTGGATAGAGGCCTCCTCTCCCCCAGGCTGTCAAGGCCAGCTCCTTTCTTCATCACTCGCCTCAGTTTAAAGCAGCTCCTAACAGTTCTCCTTTGGAATGGCCCATGTCAGAAGGACAGGTGAGGAACAGAGATAGGGCTGCGAGATGCTTCTGGGCCAAACCTGCAGCCCTACAAATGGGAGGCCACATTCTGCTAGGTCCATCAGTCACATCCCCACACCTAAGCCCTCTGGGACAAAGGTTCTGCTCATCAGGGACACACACCCAGTTGTAGGGCAAGGGGCCAAAAATGGAAAGAGAAAGGGTGTGATGTTCCTTTCCTTGCCTTCCCCTCAAGGGTGAACACGCACTGGGATCCAAAACCTCTACTACCTTCAGGGACTCAAATGCCGGAACTCGATGGGCCAGCTTGGGCCAAACCTTCTCTTGAAAAAATCTGTGATCTACCTCCAAGTCCTGAATGTCCGGCTCTTCGTCCTGGAGACAAGAACAGAGAGAGAAAGCAAGCTATGGGCCTGGTGTTCATTTGAGAATGGCAAAGATATAGGCAGGGAGCTCTGTTTGCAGCCTGACCTAGCATGGGCTGCTGTTAGGTTGGCACTCAGAGGGCAGCACAGAGATAGCAGAATTGCTTGCATGGCAGGGAGGGAGGAGAGCTAGCCTTTGGGCTGCCACTACTGGGAACAGTGACTCAGAAGTTAAAGATGACCTTGGGGAAGCAAGGATACTACTGGTACAGACTGGGACTGGTTCATCTGTGCTTTGCTCCTGTGAGGCCCTGAAGCTGGGAGCTCAAGGAGATGGTGAATGGCAGCACCTGTCTGAAAGCCTAGAACCTGCCAGCAGGTTTGCAAAGAGTACCTGTGCAACCAAACTCCACCACCTCCCGCCAGGATTTCCTATCTATAAATAGCACCCACTAAGTTCACTCATGCAGTCCGGTGCAGACAGAACAGTGTGGCCCAGGCCACAAGGAACTTGCACAACAGATGGCTCAGACCAGCCAGAGCTGTCCCCACTGCATTGCTGCCCTTTGGAAGCCTACCTTGGCACCCCACCCTTCCCTCTTTGGGAAGAGCATCCCTCACTGCTCCTCAGAATCACTGGTGCCTGCCAGAGGGCACTGCCACACAATTAAAGTCATCCCTTCTCCTCTTCTGGTTCCCCTGTTTAATGGAAACTATGCATGAGGCTATCACTCCCCCACAGCACCCAACATCACAGGGAAGCTAGCTCTTAAGGGGGGATGGATTTAAGCCCAGAGTACTCCCAACTGAGACTAAATATGAGAGGATAATAGCCAACAGGTAGTATTGCTGGGGAAGGCTGTGACAGGAGCCTGATTTTTAGGACAGGGCAGAGGTGACTGGTCAACTGACTTTGGGCAGAGGAAGAACTGGGCTGGTGATGGTGCCTGGTGTTTGCGCATCCTGTGGACTGCTATGGTCTCACTACCTATTGGGTCTTGCTTGATTTGCTGCCCTCGCTCCCATGTCCAAAAGGTTTTGTTTCACAGAGACGCTCTCCCCACTCTACCCTCTTGGAAGACTCTCTGATCTCAATTTCCCCAAGACCCCAATTAACTCACCTCTGTGGGGCTCATGCCTCCCACGTAGTTGCCTCCCAAACCTTCTCGGCGGAAATAGGCCCCCGTAGTGTCAATCAACATGGGACAGTTCAAGCCAGGCCCATCTGGGCTGTGCCAAACATACACGTACCTGTAGACAGAGGACAGCTGTTTGGCCAATGGCCTGGATATCCAGCTCTTCTCTCCAGGAGTGCACAGACCTGGGTGACCAGAGCAGGTGCATGGAAGAGGCTTCCAGAGGCTGAAAGCTCCTTGGAATGGGGACCATCTTTGGGTCTTGTATACTAAGCTGTTGCTTAGACCAAACCTGAGCAGAGAGAATCTGAGCCCCAGGTTTCTCTAAGCACCCTGCCTTTCCTCCGAAAGCACTGCACTATGTGAAAGCTTCACTGCACAGCACAAGCAATTCTAGGGACCACAGAGCATTTCGCAGCAGGAATGAGTCTGCTGCAGCACTGAACCCATACCCAACCCATCCCAGCTGTGTACTTCCCTGAGAGGGACTGGAAAGGAAGAGGAATAGGAAAGAAATTCTCAGAATAGGCCTATTTACTAGACAGACATGATGGGATAAGGCCCACCAGGAAACTATAAATCTTTCAAGGGGTAGAGGGAGACCACTATGTTAAATAACTAAACTCTTAGGATAAAGACTGTTAACACAGGAATGGGAGTGCAGGTCACAGGAAACAGATCCCAAGATGAAAGTCACTACCTGTACCCTGGAGACCAGCCTTCACAATCCCACTGGGAAAGGCCCAGCCTTCCCGAGAGTCAGCCCAGCAGAGCACCCTGAGGCCCTTCTCAGATTCCCATATCACACCTGCCCTCCATACTGATTCCACCTCTGGCCCATGCTACAGGTAGCTTTGTTTCATCCATACCTTTTCTTGGGCTCCACCGGTAGCTTAAATATTTGCTTGATCTTTGATACGCTAGTCTCAGCTTCTGCAATTTCTGTCAGCTTCCTGGACCAGGCTCCTGCTGCATTGACCACAACTGCACATGCCACTTGGCAGTACTCCAAACTGTCAGGCATCTGTATCTGAAAAAACCCAGAAGGGAGAAGGGTGAGTGCTCCAGCCCCAGCCCGGCTCTGGGGTGCCCAGATCTCCTACTAAGATCCTACAAAGACTCTCCAGACATTAGGAGAAGGTTGCTTTTCAGACACTGACAAGCACAGTGAGAGCACTGCACTGAAGAGGATGTCATGGAACAAACGGAGAAGATGCCCCTCTTAACTACACTGCACTGGAAATGAATACTGAAGAACACCACCTTAGAGGGAGGGAGCAAGGGAAGAAGAGCGGGGCAAAAGTGACTGGACAGGGTCTGCGGGAGACGTTTGGCAGAGACAAGGAATCCAGAAAGCCTGGATTCCACTTCTGGCTCTGCCAGAGACTCAGAATTGGTCTCCAGCAAGTCACTCTGCAGAAATGTAGCAATGTTAACATGTTTCCTCCTCAAGTAGTGGAAGACAGCAAAGTAGAGAGCATGCCTTGCCCAAAGTCATGCAGTGAGTCAGGGACAAAGGTGGGAGCAGAACCCATGTGAAGAGCACTGTGTACTATCCAAGTACCTACCCAGCTCTGAGGGACATGTAATGCAGTGTAAAGAACTGGGGAGTTTTTACAGTTAGAGACAGGCTGGCAGTGGTGATTCAAGGCCAGAAGGGAGCTCCAGTCATCTGACCTTCTGCCTAATACAGGCTATGGAACTTCACCCAGCAATCCCTGCACTGAGCCCCACAACTTAGACTAGATTCATATTACCCATCTTTAATAGACAGCTGGACTTGATTGGAAACAGCTTAAGCAAGGGGAAATTGGTCAAATGGATGAGCCCAAGATGAATCTCAGACCAGTCCTGCGCAAACAAATTTAACTTGCTGTTCTGACTTGCTGTTGAACTGTGCCTGGTTCAGCTATCTCTACTGTACTAGGGGCCAAGACCATCTATAGGTACAAGACAGAACTAAACAAGAATTCTTCTCCCCCAACTCAAACAGCCTGGCAAAGCCCAGGACCAGTGCAGACCTCTTATTTGAGCTACAACAGTAGCTAATAGGATAAGTTTCTCATGGAGTTACTTACACGGGCATACTTAATACGGGACAGCATCAGCTCCTCCCCTGTGGGTGTCACTGTGTCGCAAAAGGCCGTGGTAAAAGCTGTGAAACAGGAAAAGAAACATGCAGCAAGATGGCCATCCACTCAGACCTGCAACCCCAACAAGCACCTATGTGGGGAAAGAGAAGGGCTAGTGAGAGGGCAGAACATGGGGACAGGACTCAAAGGACCCATCACTGCTATGCAACAATGTATAGTTGCACATGGCAAGTATCTCCATAAACCAACAAGTCAAACAAATAGCTGTGCATCCATAAGCTTCCTTGTGTTGTGTTTACTCAGTGATTTGTATCATTCTGCAAATGGCAACAGGTAGGTACCAGGTCCCTGGTGAGTCACAGCAATAAACAAATGCATCAGTACTGAATGTGCTGCTGACGAATCTGATTTGTGGTAAGCCACCAGTGACCAAGAAAGGGCAAAAAGAGAGCTCTAGTGCTTTCCACCCTCATCTCTCAAAGCCCATTTTGAGATGGAAAAACTGAGGTACAGAAAGATATGCGATTTGGTCAGTGGCAGAGAGAGACCTCATATCTTGATTCTCAACCCTGAATTTACTCCATTAACTCCTGTTTGCTCGTTTACCAACTGTCTGATACTTCAGATGTGTAGACATGGTATTTACCGCTGATCTAAGAGGTATAAAAATCCCAGGGGTGACACTGAGCTGTCTCATACAGCAGGGCTGGATCATATCCAACAGGATATATTCTCCAGCACTTTATCTACTCCAAATGTTACGAAGCATACAAAGAAATGGACCATAACATAGGGATGTTTTGATCATTTACTTTATTATGATCTGACTGGAAAAGAAAGAGCTTTTACCTGCCAAGTCCTGGCCTCTAATTTCTGTCTCTCTCACTACAGCCAGTGGCTTTACTAATGCTCAAAAGCATGACTGGGAGCTGCTTTCTATACCTTGGGCCTTCAGGGTCTGCAACATCACTTCTCTGCAGTGGCAAGGAAAAACACAGGACCTGCAGGTTCATCTTAGTCAGCAAGTGGCACCATTTTCCATCATGTTTCAGAGCTATATTTCCAGTACATGCCCTGGCTGATGTTCTGTTTGATTTAAGTTCTTAAACAGCTATGACAGCTGTGCGTTTTATCTTATCGTTAGCTATATTCATTTTTCACCTTATTTGAAACCCATCACTTTCAGCAACACAGATGACACCGGCCCCTTGCTGGACTGGCACTGAACACTGCTTGGTGCTCTCAGTCCTACAAATTCCTGTGAAATCTGCCATCCAAGTGCAGACCAGGCCCAACCCTACCTAGCCTGGAAAGGTTATCATCTCATGATGGCATGGTAGCTCCACAGGTATCTGTGTCATTTGCAGATCTTACTTTGCAGTTGCAAAGGGGTTCACTTACATGTCACTTCTCCACAGCAGTGATGGACGCCCATGGATATTGCTTTTCTCCGGAAGGCAGTGAGGAGAGACCACGGGTCAAACCAGCCCTCATCTTTCAGGCCTGAAGAAATAAGGGAGTAAGACAGGAACAAAAAAGTGTGAACCTAGTGCCAGTGTGCTGTCCAAGCCTTCAAAATGTAGGATGCCTGTAAACTATGGCCTGATCCTGCTAATACTTCACCTACTGAAATTATTAGGGTTAGTTGAGGTTGAGAGGGGACTTTATAGCAGCTTACCACTATATCAGGAGTGCATCAGGAGCTTGGGGAACAACTGTTCACTACGGCACCCCCAGGGAAGACCAGGACCAATGGATACAAACTCCTGGAAGGCTACTTCAGGCTTAATACCAGGAAAAACTCCTTCAGTCAGGGTGTCCAGGGGGGTGGAATAAACTCCCTCCAGAGGTGGTGCATTCACCTACCTTGGAGGTTTTCAAGAGGAGACTAGATAGTCACCTCTCTGGGGTCACCTGACCCCAGCTGTCTTTCTGCCTAGAGCAGGGGGGCTGGACCTGATGATCTGCAAGGTCCCTTCCAGCCCCTAACGTCTATGAATCTATAATCATCCACAGGGGAGGAAATATTCAAGTGCTGCTTGAGATATGATCCTGTAGAGTAGGGGTGGGCAAAATGGCAGATTGGCTGGCCTCTGTTTCCCAGCAGCCCCTGCCTATATTGCTGCAGCCGGTTTCCATGGAGACCCCAGCAGCGCAGTGACAGCGCAGGGCCAGGGTTTCCATGGAGACCAGGGCTGGGATCTTGTGGCAGTGACAAAGTGGCCCAGAGCCAGGGCAGAGCTGCCTGCATGCCCCTGCCCAGGCAGTCCTGCCCTGGCTCTGGACCACGCTATCAACACTGCAAGATCCTGGCCTTGGAGCAGATTCCAGCCCAGATCTGTGCCCCATCAGTGCTGCTGAGGCCAGTCTCCATGGAAACCCTGCCCCTGCACTGTCATGCCCCACCACTGCTGGGGTCTCCATGGAAACCAGCCTCTTGGGAATAGGAGTCTGCTGTGGGCCCGATCCAGCCTGTGGGCTGGACTTTGCCCACCCCTGCTACAGAGCCAGCATTTCTAGGCAAATGCATCTGAACTGGCTATTCACCCTCTTCCAAGCCTGCAGTTGATGACATAGCTTCTCAGCAGGACCTTTTTTGCTCATTTCCCCACTATATAGGCAACCATTGATCTTCTGGATCATGATGTATGTGCAAGAGGTCTGGTCAGGTGCCTGATGAATACACTTGTGGCCAACAAGCCCAATTTGGGAGTGACACAGCTGGTTACAAGTTTCACAGATGCATGTGTTATCCGAGTTGGAGTTCAAGTCTGCAGCATGCTACTTTCTTCTTTCTGTCTTTGTTTCCAACCTCTGGATCAAAGCTGCTTCATGGTGAGCTGCACCCAGTGCCAGATAGTCCCTCCAGATCAGATGGGATTCTGCGCACTCCTCCCAGCTTTCTACATTGATGTTGAACAACTTCATATCATTTTTCCACACGTCATGGTACTGCCATAGAGGGCAACCTCACTTTCTACAGCTGTCTCAAAGTTCACTGCACAAAATATTCTTGGGCATTCGGTCTCCTCCCATTCTCCTGACATGGATAAGCTACTGCAAACTCCTCTTCTTGATAGTGGTTTCTAAGTGCATCATTCCTGTGCACTCCGGCACCTGTGTTTGGTATTTTGTCTTCCCACTTTATTTTTAGAATCTTATGTGGGAATCTTACGTGAAAACTGTTGTCTCTTGGTGTGCCTAGCATATGTAGTCCACGTTTATGAACCATAAAGCACGGACAACAGCATACAAGTCTCACAGATTTACATCTTCATCTTAATGATAACTGATCATTGATAATGCTGTTATTGATAATTTGCTGTTATTTTATGCACATTTTTGTAATAACAGAATTGAAAAAGGAGCTAAGAATTTCAGGCTAGTTCAGTCTAATAGACGTGGGTTCCCTGCTTTTTCTACCCCTTGTTTTCCCACTACCTCCCTCATTAAAAGAATTACATTAAGGAAATTAAGTGTGAAAACTTGTGTTAATACTTGATTGAGAAATTCATGTCCCTAAAAATTATGTAAATGTGGCCATGTAAACAAGCCAGGTTAAAATTATTCAAGACCCTTAGCTTGTGGTATCTCTTGATACTGGGCTTCCAGATACTTAGCCTATTTGTTAGAGGTGCACTGATGTATCAGTTGCATATTGGATTGGCATTGATAAAAGGGAAATTGACGTTACGCCTATCGGCTTTTTTTGGCTGGTGTGGCTGATAGTGTTCACCGATAAATATAATTATGCCTTCTGGCCAGGGCCCCCGGACACCATGTGCATGTGCACGGCCACATTCATGCACATGGCCAAGAATGCAGCCAAGCAGCATGGAAAGCAGCTCCCTACAGATAAGTCTGTGGAGGGAAAGGGCATGGGGGATGGAAGGAGTGTGGGGGTGCAGATCAAGGCCCCCAAAGTGAGGGAAGGAGTGGGCCAAGGCCCCCAGTGAGGGAGGGAGTGGGGCAGGGACAGGGGCTGGGGGCACTGCCCAGCCACGGTAGTGAATAGGACCTGGGGCCACGGTGGGGAGCAGGACAAAGCTGTGGGTGGTTTATTGGGGGGGGCAGCTCCCCACCACTGCGTGCACCCCTGGGGGACGTATGGGGGAGCATGTCCCCCTAGATTTGTGCACAGGATGGATGTGGGCTGCTTGCTGTGGGCTCAGGGCTCTCTGTTCTGCTGCCTTTGCCCTGGGAGCTCAGCACTGGCTGTGTACCCCCTGCCTGCCCGGTGAATTGTGTCTCCTACTGCCAGCTGGGCAGGAGATGCATGGCCAGCACGGAGCTCCCAGGGCAAAAACAGCAGAGTGGAGATCCCCGAGTCCACAGTGGGCAGCCCGCATCTGCCCTTACCTCACTTGGCTCTGCTCTGGTTAAAACAGACTTGTCTGCCATGCAGCCCTCCAAGCCATTTTATCTGGCCCAAGGCGCCTGCTCCAGGCTCCATGGCAGTGGTGAGGCAGGCAGGGCAGGACCCAGCCAGCAGCAAGGGGAGGGGAGCTGCTTACCCCTGCAGGGCCGGGCTCATCAGTGGGCCAGGTCCTGCAGCCACTGCCCCCAGGGCTGCCCCAGCCGTGCCCGATTAGAGGAGCTGGGGACAGTGTGTGCAGCTTGTTCCTTGGCTCCACCCCTTGCCCTGGCACGTGGCCAGGGGAGCTGCAGCATGGCCCGTGCCCTGCCCACATGTGTGGTGGATGGAGGCACGTGGTGAACAGGAGTAAGTTCCCATGCGGAGCTGGGGGCGCCGGGCTGGGGCTGTGGGGTGCGTGGTTGCCGGTGCCTGTGCCCTGTGCTGCCAGAGCGGCCCCATACGGGAGGCCAAGCAGTGGCCACTGGCACTGCCAGCCCGCACCTGCCTCCTCGCCCACCTGCTTCAAGCCAGCCCCACTGCCCTGTCCTGCCCCATAGCAAGGCGGCGCTTGCTCCCCCAGCCAGTTTCCCCCTGGGTGCTGTGGCTCTCCAGGCCCGGCCTCCCATGCATGAGGATCCGAGGGGGCCACTTCTCATGTGCTGCTGGGGACAGGAGGAGCCCGGCCGGGTCTGCACCAGCCAGCAGAAGCCACAGCAGAGCTGTGTGCCGCTCGGGATGGGATGAGCGTGCACCGGTCAGTCCCAAGCAGCACACGGCTCCGCCACCACTTTTGCTGGCTGGTACAGACCTGGCCGGCCTCTTTCCATCCCCAGCAGCACACGGGAAGACGGCTTCAGCTGCGTGCTGCTTTTCCTGGCTGGTGCCGACCCGGTTCTGCCCAGGCGGGTACTGCAGCACCATGTTAACTCGGGCATGGCACTGGCAGGCCAGGCGGGCCCCAGGTTAACCCCAGCCTGGCCCCACGGCTTCTCCAGCACCAGGTCAACCCAGCTGTAGCCAAGCAGCTCCTGCAGCGCCATGTCAACCTGGGCATGCATGCCATGTCAACCAGCACCATGTCAACCCCTGCCACTTCTTTGGTGTCAAAAGTCATGTGACATCACTTCCTGATGTGATACCACTTTCTGTGACGTCTTTGAATATGGCTCGCCAGCCCACTGGGTGATCAAAAGTTCGTGACATGGCTGGTTAATAATTGGCTATAGGTATTAGCCAAGAAAATGTTTAATCGGTGTAACCCTACTTTTTGTTGCACTCAAACTTGGTTTTCCATTTAATATCTGATCCTGTCAGCTGCCTCCCTAACATTTTCAGCGACTAAGGCTATGGTGCCCAGCAGTTCCATGCCACTGTAGGATGGCCAGGGATTCAGAAACTACATACCATAGGATGCCAGAGCCACACCATCTGTATTCAACCATGGAAACCTCTTCTTCAGCTGCGTTGGTGACAACAGGATGACCTCTGCTCCTTCAGCCCTGAAAATTGTTAAACATTTATCAGAATGTGCTGGCTTTGTGCCTTAGGAAACCTGTAGGAGGGGAAGATCTGAGGGAAAGCAGCATAACTGTGAGGGGAAGAGGGAATTTGGGTCACCTCTGGTGCCTTGTGATTATGTGCACGTGAGCAGCACAGACAAAACTGTCAAAGCTCCTACAGAAATCAACTAGGGGAAGGAAGAATTTGGAAATTAAAAACAGAAAAACATCATGAAACTGAAGGTAAATGGTTTTCATGCCCTCCTAGCTAAGATCAAGCAGTGTATGAGTTCAGCTGCCAATATGTCCTCTCTTGGGTACACCTACTATCCTCTCAGCCTGAGAGGCTTTAAGTGGGATGTTGCGATGGTGCCACTAAGATCACGAACCTCCAAGCACACAAGTTAGTACTGGCAGGGAAGAAGTCCAAGCAGCCCATTCTCTTTCAAGAGCCATCTCTGAAAATCCTTCCCATGTACATAGGGCTTGTCTGATAAAACTGCAATGAGCAGATCCCCTAGAACCAGCCAGAGTACGAGTTTGCTGAGGGTGGAGTGCTCCTAATCCAAGACCCAGGTGGCTCAGCTTCCTTCAAGATTTCCCTCAAGTCACAGCTCTGAGGGGCGCTTCCTCTGGAGATCCACCATGGAGAACCTCACAGAAGCTAGGCATCCTCTGCAGAAAATCCTCATGTGTGGAATTTCCCCACCCAACTTCCCTCACAGCATCAGTCAAGACCCACAGCATTTCGCAGGACATGCAAGACTCAGCACATTGCTGAGGAATGTAGAATATGAAATCAGCATCCCCACCCTCTCCCCGCATGACCCACAGTTGCTTCATGCTAGGATAGGGGGTCCAGAACCCATTCAGAGATAAATAAGTCATATGTAGGAGTATGATGAGGTAAATACAGGGATGAGGGGGCTTGGGGCAGACAGGGCACTAGTGCACAAGCCCCTTACATGCAACAGCCTGGGATTTTGGTCATGAGAGAAAAGAAATGTTGCAGCCCTTCAGCCTGGCATTTGGTGAAGGTTTGCCCACAGTACCAGAAGCAGCAAGTTTTTCATACCTGGAAACCTAAACTTAGGAAAGACCCAGGGTTGCTAGAGGAGAGAGAAAGAATGGAGGCCAGGGCCAGGTGAAGTAGCAAAATTGTGTAAGGGGATCCAAACCTTGAAGAGCTCTAGCAGGACCCTAGAAAGCCCAGACCTGAGACAGCAGCTTATGCCTACAGCAAAGTGCAGGTGTTAGAACAGCATGGAGGAGCAGAGGGGCTGTGCTTGACTGCCACCCACCGCCAGAGGGAAGCTTATACAACATCACAAATCTCTGGCTTTTAGAGAAACCAGGTGAAGGCAGTGCTAGCTCTGAGTGCAAGGTGCCAACTTTTCAGGGGCAGTACAATCAGGCAGCAGCTGTTTCATGAGCTCTCACTCCCCCACCTCTGTGCAGTCACTGTGGCATCCCAGCACACAGAAGCCAATGGAAACTGAGCCTCCCCTAAACTGGGAAGGCAAGAACAGTAACTGCCCTCAAGCCCAGGAGACTCAGTCCTGCTACAAAGAAACTATGCAGGCTTCTCACTAGGACATGCTGTTATCAGCCACCATAGCTTTGCCCCACACCCTGCCCCCACAGCCACACTCCCTATAAAAGGGCCTTACCTCTGAATGCTCACGTTCTCCTCCAGCATGGCAGCTCTTTCCTCCGTGGCCAGGAAGAGGTACCCCGAAGGGTTAAACTGAATATCAATGGCTGGCTCGTCTGCGACTCCCAGATGTTCCTGGGAACAGAGTGCCAGTGAGTACTTAGGCAGCTGCTTTCCTCAGGTGTAAGCAGAGAGAAAAGCACATGGGATTTCACCCTCAGGGACTCTGCCCGCTGGAATCATATAAGAGGGGGCTGAAAAGAACCGCAAGAAATCACTAAGCCCAAACCCCTGCACCAAGGAAGGATCCAGCTTACCTGGCCCATCCCCAACTGATGCTTCTGCAGGGGTCTTCCCTCCCAGTTGCTAAATGCCACCCGGGTGAACCACCTTCCTCTGCTGGAAGCCTCCTGTGGAGCCCCCTCAATGCAGTTCCTACATCTGCTGCAGGAGTTGCTGCAGAGGTCTGAGAGAACCTCATGCCAGGATGAAGAGCATCTCCTGTGTACTCCCAGCCCGTATCAGCTGGGCCAAGGAGAGAAACTAGGCCAGAGTGAAAGTTTCCTGCATGGGCGCATTGAATGTGACCTAGTTACTACTTGGGCAGTATTTCCAAGATGCAAATTGTTGAAGAATGTGAAGAGGTGAGCAACAGCAGTCAGACCCACAAGTGGTTACAACCTGAGAAGTAACAACCATCTCACAGATGCATGTACACAGACCAAGCTACACCTGTTGCTATGGGGACAAAGCAGTTCACTGGCAGTCCTAGCCCTCCTCGTTCCAGCCCTGCTCTCTGACATTGAGCTTGCAAACCTGATGGGCTCTTGCAGGGGGAGTAATAAAGGCTCTGGCACCTCCCTCCAAACCTGACATACGTTGATCGTGCGCAGGAAGTATGCCGAGTAGCGGGACATCTGGACGTTTTCTGGCAACGAGAACTGTTGCCGAATGCCTCCCACTGAAAGCACTGTAGAAGCTCGGGAGTACTGCAGGGAGACAGGGGAGGGGAGAGGCTGTCAGGGCACCAGGGACAAGAAATGATACACCATGATCTGTAGACAGAATTTTCAGTACCCTATTCTTGTGGCTTTGATAGTGGTGAAAAGCATATGGAGACGGACAGTTTCATAATAGAGCAGAATTCTACCCAAGGATCAGCAGCACAGGCAGCTGCCCTGAAAGTATGACCCAGTCACCCATTAGAAAGCTTTTTCTCTAATCCCCTATAGTTGTCAGAGGGGAAACTACTGTCAAAAGACCTTCTATCCCTGTGCTTGTCCTCAAACTCCCAAGAGAGAGGCACTGGGACAACTGCTCTGTAGGAACTGGAAAAGTCATAGATCTTTCAGATGACAATCACCAGAGTCCCACTCCTAATCACAAAGCTGCCTCTTCCTCTACCAATGGCCCTTCTCCCTGTCCCTTACTAAGTCCCCCTTTAGTAATGACAGCTACCCCCTCAAGTCCACAGATGACACATTTATTGGGGGGGGGGTGGTTAGGCTTCATGGGAGGGTGACCCTAGAAGAGCAGGGATGTATTACGCCTTCAAAGGTAGCTAAACCACTCACACAAGGAAAGTATCATTAATTGGGAGAGAAACATCCTGGTGAGATACGAGACTGGAGTACAGGAGCTCCTGCATTGCACAACACTAAGACACCAGCCATGTTAAGTTCAAGGCATGGCTCAGGTACGTTTGGGTTCAACAACCTGACTGTCATAACACTGTCTACAACCTCCATATCCCAACCACCTCTCCATCAATCAGTCCTTGCAGCCTCAGGTACCATTTGGGAGTGTACTTTCCACTGCTCTGAATGCTCCGGCTGCTAAGAGCCCTCCTCCCCCCACAACACCCAGATTGTATTTCCACTTCCTTTTGCTCAAGCCATTGCTGTGTGAACTCCCTTTTTCAGGGACTCCAGCCTTCTACCCATGCTGAAATGGCTCTTTTTTGGGCAAGGTCTGCCTTGCCCCTGGAGTAACTGCACCAGAGAGCAAGCAAAATGTAACCCATAGCCCAGATTCAGCCTGCCCAGATTCGATTCAACCTGCAGGCAGTCAACCACCAACTCACTGGATTTGGCACACACCACGCAGTGCTGGGTGGGCAGGTGTGACTGTTTCAGCCATGCCGGGTGGGACTGCTTCTGCCCAGCAGCATCAGCTCTTCACGCGGCAGCATCAACTGCAAACCCAGGTGGGGGTTTCTGCTGCAGCAGGCAGGCAGTGACGTCAGCTGCCAATGCTGCCTGCAGGTCCAGGAGCCCCGATACAGAACCTACCGGCAGTGTCCACATGTGATGCTACCAAGCGCAGCAGAGCCCCAAACCAGAACCTGTCGGCGGAATCAGCGGTGGACCCAGGCAAGAGCTTCTGCTGCACCAGGTGGGCAGTGGCATCTCCACAGCTGACGGTGCCGCCTGCCCACTACGGCAGAAGTCCCTATCTGGGTCCACAGCTGGTGAATTCCAGCGCTGGCCAGGTTTTGGAGGGAGAACAATGTGGTCACCAAAATTCATTACGTGGCCTTCCAGTCAAAAGAACTGCCCACCCCGGAGTTACTCTCATTTTTATTGGTGCAAATCTGTACTACGCAGGCACTGTGGTAGGGGATTCTGTAAATCAGCCAGGGCAGCTGAAGTTCAGCCCAGCGTCTGCATCTGTCCCAAATGAAGCCTGCAGGATCCGACACTTGTCCAGACCCCAGGTCTCAACTGCAGCATCCCTCGGAGGCAACTTACTGTTGTGTCCCGCTCAACCACCAGCACTCGCAGGGTATTTTTTCTAGGCTCCAGTGCCTTCAACCAGTAGGCGACGGACCAGCCCATCACCCCTCCCCCAACAATGACCACCTCTGCCTGCATAGGAGGGCGTTTTTCATCAAAGAAGGGGTTCTTGAAGAGACTTGTGACGTTTTCTTTTAACTGGTTCTGGAAGTTTGCCACCGTCTTCTTAAGGTCTGCAAGGGGAGAGGAGATTGCTAGTTGACCTGAACTACTCCACTGCGATCAATCCACTTCCTACAGAAGCCAGAACAACCGCCAGCCCTGAGAAAACCCTCTGGCAGTACAGATGCCACGGGCAGGCAGCGAGCATGGTTTGCTGAGGATGTTCGGAAAAGCTCGTTATGCACTTCACTACTCTGTTGTGGCCATGGAGATGCGTGCTCAGACCCCACAGCCAGTCTCCCATCTCCGCCAGGCCTCTGCCGCCTGCAGGCTGTCGGGCACCTGCATGAGCTCAGCCGGCAACCAGAGGACAAGCAGCTGCCTCCAGCTTGACACAAGCAGCAGAGGCGCGGCGGCGGCTGGCGGCCGAGTGGAGCACAGGGGGCTCGGCCGTGCTCCACCCCCGCCACACCGCTGGAGCTGCCCCCGCCCCGTCCCGCCACGCCACGCCACGCCACAGACCCCAGGCGGCAGGTCCAAGCCAGCGGCGCTCGCCCCTCCAGGCCTGTGGCGTCCGAAACCTGGGGCTCGAGGGGTCGGACCCCCCCCGGGCCCACGGAAGCCGCGGGCCTAGGGCGGGAGATGCCCAGAGCGAGCCCCGGGCGGGGACCCTGCGGCCACTTACCGCCGGACAGGTCCCAGCGGCGCGCGGGCCCGGAGCGCAGGCGCCGGCCGGGGCGGGGAAGCAGCGCTCGGCACGTGCGGATCATGCTACCAGAGGGCGTCCGGCGGACCGGAGAGGAGAGGAGAGTGGGGGGCGGGGCCCTCGCCGCTTCTGCCCCCGCCCCCAATCGGCGGGCGCACGGACACGTCGTGGCCGCGCGGGTTGGACAGTTTGATTGCCACGTCTTCCTCGAGGCTTGACGCCAACCAGTCGCTGCGGCGGCCCCGCCCCCTTTCCACTTCCCGCCAATAGAAACAGCGAAACGTCATCGGCGTGCCCCGCCGCTTCCGCCGAGCGGACCAATCGCCGTCTCCATCCTGCTCCGCCCCCTGCCTCCGAGTTGTGCCCGGGGTTGCGGTGTTTCCGGCGGAAGCGGGGCCGCCAGTGGCTGTGACGTGTGCCGAGGCGGGCGGGCTGGTTTCCCGGCCGGGCGCCGCCGCCATGCTCGACTTCTTCACTATCTTCAGCAAGGGCGGCCTGGTGCTCTGGTGCTTCCAGGGCGTGCGCGGCCCCGCCGCCGCCTGCACCGCGCCCGTCAACGCGCTCATCCGCTCCGTGCTGCTGCAGGTGAGCCCCGCGGCCCGTTCCCTCCGCCACAACTGCCTGCCGCTCGTGACGTGTCGCGTGGCTGCGTGACGCCGCGGTGTGACGGGACACGGGGGTGCAGCTGCGTTTCGGGGGTCGGGGGGAGACCTCAGTCCACGCCGCGCGACGCTCAGTCCAGGAGCCCCGCGGGGGAGCGGCTCGGCCCGGGCTCATGCGGTTGATGGGCGCAAAGGGCCGGGCACCGAGTGTCTCTGGGGATTCGTGGGCTGCTGGGAATCTACAGCCTCAAAAACATGGCCCTGCCGGGCTGCCTCTGAGGTCTTTGCGGCAGAAGAGCTGCTCTAGCATTTTCCTGCAGTCAGAAAGTGAGGTGGCATCGTCTGAGGGGCCTCGAGGCTGAGGGGCGGGGAGGTCTCGGGTCTCAAAATGTTGAGAACTGAAACCCTTTGGGCATGAGTCGTGCTCCTGGCACCTGCTTCCAGAGACGTTCCTGCCAGCAGGCGCGTGGCGAGCGGTCACAGTCATGCTGGGCTCGGGCACAGGTGCTTGTCAGTGGCTCCACAGTTATAATAGGGACAGGCTACTTCTGTCTTGACCCAAGATGAGTGAAAAGACTCAGTGTTCACATACACTTCTTACCATTTTGAATGTTTTAGGGACTGCTTTATTCTAAAGTGCGGTCTGTCTAAATATTTAAGTTAAGCACGTGATAGAGTTGACTGTCTGATGGATAGATGGATCTGGTGGAGGATATGAAAAGAATGATCCAAGAAGGTGGATACAAGGGGGCATCAGTAAAGATGGTTTCACACCATCTGTTGTCCTTATCTTGCCTTCAGATGCTGTGTGTACTAGGCCAGCAGTCATTTAGGAAACGAGGAACAGACAAGGCCCGTGAGACTCCAGGAACTAGTTCATAGATTCTTACATTGTAGGGCTGGAAGGGACCTCGGAAGATCATCCGGTGCAGCCCCCTGCACCAAGCAGGGAAGATAACTGTGGGTCAGATGACCCCAGCAAGGTGAATGTCTAGTCTCCTTTTGAAGATTTCCAGGGTAGGTGATTGCACCACCTCTGGAGGGAGCTTATTCCACAGTCTGGACGCTTTAACTGTGAAGATGTTTTTCCTAACGTTGAGCCTGAAACAGTCTTCCAGGAGTTTGTGACCATTACTCGTAGTTTTCCCCAAGGGTGCCCTGGTGAACAGCTGTTTACCCAGCTCTTGATGTACGCCCCTGATGTAGCAGTAAGCTGCTACCAAGTCCCCTCTCAGCCTTCTCTTTTTCAGGCTGAAGAGTCGCAGGTCCCTCAGTCTTTCTTTGTATGGCTTGCCTTGCAAGTCTCTAATCATACAGGTGGCCTTTCTCTGGACTCTGTCATGTTTTACCACATCCTTGTTAAACTGTGGTGCCCAGAACTGGATGCAGTACTCCAGCTGTGGTCTCACTAGTGCCAAGTAGAATGGAAGAATCACTTCCTTGGTTTTGCTGGAGATGCATCAATTGATGCATGCCAAGGTATTATTTGCCCTGTTGGTTACAACGTCACACTGGCAGCTCATATTCATACTGTGGTCTATTATTACCCCTAGGTCCCTTTCGTTTGTGGTGCTGGTCAGTCTGGCACTGCTAACCCTGTAGGTGTGTAGATGGAGCACATTAGACTTCTCAATGTTGAACTTCATCTGGTTCTGATTCGCCCAGCTTGCTAGCCAGTCTAGGTCCGCACGCATCTGTAGCCTATCTTGAAGTATGACCACCCTTCCCCATAACTTGGTGTCATCTACCAACTTGGCCAGTGATCTCTCCACCCCTCACATCTAAATCATTGATAAAGATGTTGAAAAATAGTGGACCAAGCACCGACCTCTGCAGGACACCACTGGCCACTTCTTGCCAGGACAACGCAGTTCCCATTCGTTAAGGCTCCCTGGTCCTGCAGCCAGCTTCATACCCACCTAACTGTCTTGCAGTTAAGCCTGCAATCCTTTAATTTTTTTGCGAGACCATCGTGAGATCCCAGGTCAAAGGCTTTTTGGAAGCCAAGGTATACAGTGTCAACCTAGTTGGTAAAGAGCGTCAGAGAACGAGGAACAATGGGTGAACAGAACAAGGAGCGATGGGCTCAAGTTGCATCAAGGGAAGTTTAGGTTAGATATTAGGAAGAATTTTCCCACTAGGAGGGTAGTAAAACCTTGGAACAGAGAGATGGTGGAAGCTCCATCCCTGGACATTTTAAGACATAGCTCAACAAAGACCTTTTAAGACTTTGGCTGGGATGATCTGGTTGAGGGATGGTCCTGCTTTGAGCAGGGGGCTGGACTAGATGACCTCCTGAGATCCCTTCCCGCTGTAATTTTCTATGATTCTATGCTTGCAAAAAATATGTTGAGTATGATTCTCACTGAAAGAGACCTGGCTGTGGTAAGAGTCACATGGCCCAAACTAAAGGTGAAGTGCATACAGGTGTTCTTTGGTGGTTTCATTGCTTTTTTTTTTTTTTCTCTTTATAGGAGCGAGGTGGCAACAACTCTTTTAACCATGAAGCTCTTACACTTAAATACAAACTGGATAATCAATTTGAGCTTGTGTTTGTGGTAAGTGTCTTTACCGGTGCTTTGGGGAAATGGATAGCATTGTTTATTTGCCTGAAGAATATGCTTGAAAACTTGTCTAAAATTGATTCCAACTGCCGTTTGTCCACTGAAACCACTCCTAAAAATATTCTTCCCTCTTGCAAAAGATTCCAGAGCCAGTTAGCTATGGTAAGGTTTTGAAGAGACATTGTTGTCACATCTCAAACTCCGAATGCTTCACATGGCTGAAAAATGCTATTCCACTTTCTGTTCCGAGCATTGCTCTTGCTTCATATCTACCAACCACAGGTTGAATAAAAAAAATGCAGGAGCCACTAGTGAGGTTCGAAGGCAGCATGCTGTGAAAGGCAAGAGCTTGCATTCTTACCAGCACGGAAGCTCCCCTTTCCAGGATCTTATCTTGACTTGATAAACCAGAGAACTCATTTCTAGCAGCTGGTGGCAGGCAGAGAAAGGAAAAAAAAAGTCAAACCTTTCTTCCCTAGGATCCTGTTGAGGTGGGGAGAGGCTTTGCCTATTATACTTTCCTGAACTCCCTGTTTTTCCAAGGGAGAAAATAGGAGTCTGTTTCCCCTGTAGCGGATGTTTTATTGTCCTCTCAAGAACACTAACTAGGCTGGTGTCCTATTCCCTTGCACCTCTTAAAATGCTGAAGGCAGGAGGGAGACTGACCTGCATTGACAATTTCAAACTCTGCTTGTTAAAACTAAGCAGCAGCCAAGGTACAGCAGTCTCTGTCTGCAGATTTGGCAATGCAACATTGCATCCGTTACATGTTGCTTGCGTCTTGGACAATTATGCCCACCATCAGTAATGGCTAGAAATGTGTAATAACATTTAGAGGTTGGTTATCTTGGCCTATTTGCTGGGAAAGGAAAGCTTTCTAACTGTTTACTGGTGAGTGGACCTTGGAACCATGGCAGTACAGGGCAGTGAGATGGCATCTTTTTGTGTGGGTGGTTGTCTGTTTTCCAGGAGTAACTGGAAAATCCTGTTAAGTAAGGTCTGGCTGAGAGCACAGAGTTCTCTCCAATGTCTGGGATTTGTAGTATTGAAAAGAAACCTTGGGTGAAATCTTGATATAAGTCATGAAGTCAATGGCATTGAACTCCCAATACTTCTCTGGACCTGGTTTCATCTTTAAGATGCTCTGACTGTCTCACAGTCCCTAATTTCCCCCAACCCTTCACTTTTGTTGTGAAGGGACTCTGTTTAGAGGCTTGAGCAATGGTGAAGGTGCTAAGTTTTTTGCACCCTGACATCATGCTGTACTTGGCCTGGGTGAGAGGTAAGCAGCCTCATATACGTTAGGGAGCAGATTTCTTTTAGATTACATTAGAAGATCACTTTGAATGCAGTTCTTACACATTTCATCTGGAGGAATTGCTAGCTCTGTGTGGGGATGCTTGGCCAGTTCCAGCCTCATGTGGTGCGCAGTGCTTCCAAAGAGTGCACCTAGGAATTATGAAGTAGTCTTCCCCAACATCCCTCAGCATGTTTTAAACCTGGGGCCCAGTTCAGTGGGTGGAGAGATCCCAACTTAAAGGTGATTAGTCATGGAGCCCTACACATGTGCTGTATTGTAGCTGTAAACTTGAAACAACTGAGCAGCTTTAGGGGTAAAATGGTGCTAGCTGAATCTGTGGCCAGTGACTGCATCTTGGGGGTATGGTGGGGTATGGCTCACATGGTGTTGGAGGGTGTAGTGGTTTCCAATATTTACAGTGACTAAGCGATTTGAAGTCTCTGCCTCCATTAAGAGATTTGAATTGCCAGCATGTTGTACCCTGTGGCCATGTCCAGACGAGTGCAGCTGTGCAGTATGTGGCACTGCAGACTTGTCTGCAGCACCACACACTGCACATTCAAGTGTTCTCTGCACTGCAAGGCTCTGAGCGGCAGGATCGCCGCAGCTGCAGCTCCCCAAGGCCCCCAGGACTCCAGGTAAGGCTGCTGGAGCCAGCATAGTGGCTGGCCTCAGCCTCCCCTTGCCTACCTGGGGTAACCTGCTGCATGCCAGAGGGCACATGGCCCAGGTGTTCCCTGAGGACAAGTAGCTGCAGCACATGGTATGCTGCTGCTTCGTGTCCCTGGGGGGAAACAAGCATCCATGCTCATGTGGACACTGCCCAGCTGGGGGTGGAATTAAGACTTTTTGTGCTCTTTCAGTTAGTGTCATCTTCAACAGGTGCAGAATTTAAGGCAGAAATATGATTATGTTGGTGTCTCTTTAATTTAAAACATTTGCATATGCAGCTATCATTTCTCCCATATGAGAGATTAATTTGCTGTTCTTGCTAATGAGGTGTAATCGGGGGTTACAGTGGACCCCAAGCTGGCTATGAGCCAACAGTGTGCCTCTGTTGCCAAGAAAGTTAACAGCGTCCTGGGCTGCATTAGTAGGAGTATTGCCAGCAGATCAAGGGAAGTGATTATTCCTCTGTTCAGTGCTGGTGAGGCTGCATCTGGAGTACAGTGTCCGTCCATCCATCCGTGTGTCCCCCCCCCCCGAGAAAGGATTTGGACAAATTGGAGAGAGTCCGGTGGAGGGCAGTGAAAATGATTTGGGGGTTGGGACACAACTTCTGAGGAAAGTCTGAGGGGAAACTGGGTGTATTTAGTCTGCAGAAGAGAAGACTGAGAGGGGATTTGATAGCAGCTTTCAAGTACCTGAAGCAGGGTTCAAAAGAGGATGGAGCTAAACTGTTTTCAGTGATGGCAGATGACAGAAAAAGGAGCAACAGTCTCAAGTTGCAGCAAGGGAAGTTTTGGTTGGATATTAGGAAAAGCTTAATAGGAGGATGGTGAAGGATTAGAGCAGGTTACCCAGAGGGGTGGTGGAATCTCCATTCTTGGAGGCTTTTAAGGCCCAGTTCAACGAAGTCCTGGCTAGAATTTAGTTGGAGCTGGTCCTGCTTTGAACAGGAGGTTGGACTAGATGACCTCCTGAGATCCCTTCCAACCCTAACTTTATATGATTCTATGATCATTAGAATCTTGTCTTGAAGTGTAGGTTCCTTTTAGCTAATAATATGTATATCTCTATTGTTGAGAAGGCAGACAAACTTTCTCTTCTCTTTGCAGGTTGGTTTTCAGAAGATCCTGACTCTAACCTATGTAGATAAGTTGATAGATGATGTCCATAAGGAGTTCAGAGACAAATATCGCAATGAATTCCAGCAGAAAGGCACTCTGGGGCTCCTCAATGGCACCTTTGATTTTAAAGAGGATTTTTTACACCTCCTCCAGTAAGTAGACCATTGTCACTACAGTTATGTTTGTGTATGTTTAACACTATTCCTTGAAGGCCTGACATTAAGACGTGGCCAGTGGAGGTATATGGAGCCCTGCCTATATGCTCATGTTAGTGTGGGCTCTCATTCTTACTGGTTACCTTCCAATACAGAGTATTGTTTAATTGGCAGTGGGGGGACTAGGGGTAAATCTGCACTGCAGTTGATTTATGTTGGTCTCACTGAGCAATACCAAACAATGTCACAGTGTCCAAAACATCTTTGCCTAATCACGTCTCTAATGTGCTGTTGGAAATCCTCTGAATCACATCAATGAGAGCTCCCTTGTTTGACTGTATAACTCAGAGGTGGCTGCAATGTCACAGGATTTCCAGTATAGCTGTTTTCGTGGAAGAAATATCTGGACCCAGACATTCAAAGCATCCAAGATCCTCAAAAAAGCTTTGTTGCATCAACCACCCTGTTTCCTATGTCCCCTTTCTCTGGGGTGGTGGTATGCAGAGATCACCACAGAGTTGCCGGGGCAGAGATCCTACCTTTGTTCAGTTTAGAAAGCAGTGAGCACTAGAAACTGAGCTGTTTCTTTCCTTCTGCTGGCTGTTCATGAATGTGCCAGTAGGGGCCCAGACCAAAGAGTGGTGGTGAGACATGAAACATCAGCTACACTTTAAGGGTACACTTCTTCAGCAGGTATATGTAAATCTGCCTTGGAATATAGGTGTGTGGGGGGGGGGGGATGACGGGGTAAACCAGATAATATATGACGTCTCTCTCTTTTTTTTAGGGGTTGGGGGTATAAGTCTTCACTCTTCAGAGCAAACCTCCATCCCCAGTATCCTTAATTATATACGTCACTGCTGTTTTAGACATGATGCCTTTAAACACTTTCCAAACTGCTTGACCTGAGCAATCTGTGGAAATGGAGATCACTAGATGAAGGGTCACACAAAGTGGGCAGTCAGTGGTTTACTGCTAATGCTATGGCAAGCAGGAAGTCTGTTCAGTCTCAGATGAGGTTATCAAGAACCCGTTTACCAAAGTAAACGTGAAGCATTTAGCTGAGTTCTTTTGTTATCTGTTTCTGGTTCTGGATTGATTGTTTTAAAACGTAAGCCAAAAAAGCATACTGCCCATTCCTTTAGCCTTAACATGGGGTCTATATTTGTAGAGCATCTTCTAGCATTTTACTTGCTTTGAAAGTCCCAAGTACTGAGGCTGTTGCACTTGATCCATGGCCATGTCCAGCAGAGTGAAGATCACAGCTCTGAGACAGGAATGCCTTGTTAGTGAGGATAGGTCTGATTGGTGTACTTCCCCTCTGGAGGACAATGGGGAGGTTTGTGATGGTCCTTGGTTCCTTTGAGTTCACTCCATAATCATGGGCAGGCTCGTGGGAGAGCAGTCTCTTTTATTGATGAGCCCCATCTGTATTGGTAAAAAGTGCTGGTGGGTCCCATCTCTTGAAGTAATTCTTGGTCTTCAACTATTTTGTGCTTTTGTTCTGTGATGGAGCACATAGCCTGTTTGGATTCCCACGTGCTCTAGATTAGAGGTTTATTGGCTTTTCCAGAGCTTCAGCATCTGTCTGGCTGGATATGACAGACTAATTTGTGTAATTCAGAGGCAAGGCACAGTAAAAGAGAGATGGGGTTTTCAAGAGTCCAGACTGGAGTGAGGCAAACACAGGTTTGGGAGGCTTTATAACATGGTATGGGATACAGAATAGGAGGTAGCTGTTGCCCTAACTGTTGTCATAGTGTGGTAGTGAATCTCAGGCCAGGGCTGCATTTCCAAGTCAATAACCCCATTCCTCTTTCCTCAGGGAGGCAGAGGAGAGCAGCAAAGTGCGAGCTCCCCCTGTCATGAAGACATTTGAGCAGTCTGTGAAATCTCAGAAGACTGTCAAGTCCATGATAGAAACCCGGGGGGAGAAACCAAAGGAGAAAACCAAGAACAAGAAAAACAAAGGTTCAAAAAAGGATGGTAAGTAGATGTAATACATGCTGGAATCAATAATCCAGGTAGGGTATGTGTCCCCTAGCCTTCAGTGGCACTAAATCAGCACATGTTTGTCTATAGGCACATCTGATTGTTAGTGTCCCTTAGGCTCAAATTTTCCAATTTGGGTGCCTAAATTTTCCAGGTTTAAGGACCTAGATAAAAGTGGCCTGACTTAGAGGTGCTGTGCACACATTGACTTTTGCCCATGGGACTAGGTGATTTGGATGCCTGCCTTCAAATGCCCATGTGAAAATTAGGCCAGACTTGGTTACTGTAATACTGGATTGTTTTCATAAAATACATTTTTTAGATCGGGGTTGGCAACATTTTTGGGCAGAGTGCCAAAAGCAGCTGCAGCCTTGACTTGTAAGATGTTGGTGTGCCAGGACAGATGGCAGGGGAACTGTGAGGGGCTCACTCCTTGTGGCAGCGCAACCCTGCCCCCTTCCCTGAGGTGTGTGCACCAAGCAAAATGCCCTCGCGTGCCACACTGGCACGTGTACTGGGGGTTGCCTACCCCTGGTTCAGATGATAAATATTGCTGTCAGGAGCCTGCTTACTGCTCTGGCTTCCACCTGTGAGTTCAGTGTTAACTGCAGAGTTCCAGCCCACAGTTTACTTTTGGTTTGATTCCTTTTAGGGACTAGTGTCAACTATCTGTTTGAGGTCACCCTAGCATAAGAACACTGTTGAAAACTATCAGGCTGTGGGCAGAAAGGTGCCACTTATTCAAGGTGACTGAGACAAATCTGGGAACTGGGGGAATTGATGCCTGTGGAGTGTAATACTTGTATCGAGGAACTCCAGAAGTTAAGGGTCCTTGGGAAGTGCCAATTCAGCCATGATATTCATGTGCCTCTCTTCTTTCCTTGCTTGAGCAGGAACAGGATGCGTTTCAGTACTGACAAGTGCAGGGTGCTGCACTTAGGCAGTAGAAACCAGCAGCACACTTATAGAATGGGAAA